TCAACCACCATACGCTTATACCATAAAACTACCAAAATCAGCAGCGTAACACTGTAGATTATGAATTCCAGTTTATTAATTTTCAAAAAGAGGAAAAAATACTTAAAAATCTAACATTCCTTAAAAATAATTGTTTAAAACTCTAAAAATTAACTAAACTCTACCTTAAATACACCTAACATTTAATTTCTTCATAGGTTGCAGTAGATTCTACTCTAAAATCTAAGGTATAATAATAGGAATCTAAAATTGGAAAAATAACAAATATAGCTACGAATTTGTCACTAAACTCTATTTAATCTACTTAAATTGCTACATGCGATGCGGATTATTCTTAAGACTTAAGTAGATTTGCTCTAAAAGTCATGAAATTGCATTTAAAAATATAGCTAGGTTTAATTAAAATCGAATTAAAATCTCGACCCTAATGTAATTTACTTAGAACGTGAAGTGTACTAAATCACATTCATAAAATACGCTAAAATCGATTTACCTATTGAAATATGTCAAAATTAATAATTTTACGTAAATCATAAAGTAAATAACTATTAATGATTATCTAATATTTAATGTACATATATAAAATTAACTAAACTAAAGTTAGTGAAATAACTTCTCGAAGCATGCATGTGCTTGAATTTTGCTGCATTTTAATTTTGCTACATGCTTATATATGAACATATATTGTAATTTGAATGAACAAACTTATTCATATATATACATACATATAAGCCACGATTGAGAGAATACAAAGGTTGCGCCGATCTCGGACCGCTATTCCTCTCTTAATGAATTTGACAGAATCGTTGTTTGCATGACGTCACACTTGTGCAACTTGTTTACGTTTCCCTTGCAACATTTTTTCTTCTTCTTCCATTCTTGCTCACGTCTTGGCATTTCTCTCTCGCAATTGCACCAGTGTGACGTCACTCAAAAGTTATTCTCCAAAATCCTCTCTGATCGGCGCAATCTTGTATTCTATCATTCTTGCATATAAGCATAAAAGAAAATTTCCAACTAGAATTTTAACCAGATAAGAGAGCCATTTTTGCTAGCCAACGCAAATCATCAGGCGCCTTCAGGCGCCTGTTGTCAACGTTGGAGAACACCAACCGTAGGTGCTCTTAATTGTCACTCTCTTATTTGTTTGTATTTCTTAATTTCATTATGTATAAGTACGTAAGTAAAGGGAGAGTAAGTAACATGAAAATAATGTGAATATTAGCAGAAAACATTTAAGAACGAGAAGGTGCATATTTTTTGGAGAGATAAATTGTCGTCTGATATGTATGCACTATGGAATTTCACCAGTCCGTTTAACATGTGCATAAGAGGTTTTTAACATTTTTTTGTATATGTTCTCTGTTAAATATGTTGCGTGTAGTCACGATCCAGAAAATAAAGGTCGCGCCCAGGGTTGCCACTTTGGTAAATTGTTACCAAAATTGGTAGAAAAAATTTGGATTGGTAAAAAGGTAAATTTTTTCTCATTTTGGTAGATTTTTGATGAACTTTCCGTTCGTGATGATTTATTTTTCGTAGTTATCTTTAAATATATTATAAATTTCTTTGCATTCTTCTTATATAATTACATACGTGTAAATGTATATCGCTATAAGGCGAACATATCGTGCTCCATTCAAAACTAATTTTACTGGAATCCCGAGGAGCTTTTGATTGCCTAAATATTTTAAATGATTTAAATATAAAGAAAAAATTGACAGGTATGTAATTACGAGCTATGATTGTTCGCAAAAAAAATTAAATCAACGCCATTTTTTATCAATGGAAAAAAAATTCAAAAAATCAACGGGAATTTTAAGCAGCACATTGTTTGCTATACTCAAATAGTATTTGCTTTAAAACTCCATAGCTTAAATTGTTCTAAAAATTCATAGTAAAAAATTCGAAATTTAGACGAACATTTTTTTAACTTTTCTATATGTTGTATATAGTTTGAATCCTCGATTTTTATGGATTTAGTTAAAGCAATAAAAAAATTTTACTCGAAAAATATTGCGAATATTAAAAAATTCACTTTTTTTGAGTCACTGCATTTGTCTATAATAACTCGAGTTGAAGTTTTTCAAGTAATGAAGTTTCATTGTTGCCTTTAGTTTCATCACTTCCGCTTTTGGGTGAAGGAGACTGAGAATATGCCAATAATATGACTCAAATAGCATATAACTAGTTAAATAAAAAGTTCTTAAAAGCAATTTTAATTCTTATTGAAATAACAAAAAAAAAATTAAAAAAACTATAGCTTTAATTAAATTAAATAAAAAATAACAAAACTGGAGTTTTTATTAAAATAATTATAAAAAAGTTATTGGTAGATATTTCCCAGATTTGGTAGATTTTTTTCGTCAGTGGCAACCCTGGGCGCGCCATTCGCGGACCGCTAACCCTCTCTTCGTCGATTTGACAGCATCCACCCATTCGCTGACGTCACACAATACTTTTGTTTACATTTTCTGGTTCGTGACATTTTAGGTTATTTCAACTTTACAAATTTACAAATTGGAAAGATTTTGAGCGTTGTTTTGTTTTTTGTGAAAACTTATAAAAAAGTTATAAATTAAAGAAAAAAATGAGGTGTGCAGTGGTTAATTGTGCTAGTGTTAGTGCCAAAGGATCTGGGTGCAGTTTTTTTACTTTTCCCGCCGACATTGAGTTGGTGGAAAAGTGGATCCAGTTCTGCCGGAGACCAACGGATTTCAACGCCCGAACCAGCGTCATCTGCGTAAAACACTTCACCACTGATGACTTCGAGAACGAGCTACCTACGAGAACCTATAAATTGAATCCGGTATCAGATCACATGCAATAAACGGCAACATTTCATTACGATGTATTTTTTATTTATTTGTTATTTGAAAATATAACACGTTCCCCTGATAAAGCTTTTTATTTATACATACTGACCTTCTGCTTCCTACCGGAAATGTTAAGCCGTATGCATAAAAACTAAGCAATTGCTTTTTTCTTGAAATTGCATACCTTTCACTTAAATTTGTTTGAACATAATATTTGAATTATTAATAAATGTACTTATTGCCAATAACAATTTCTATTTTATTTAGTTTTAAACTTTTCTTTATATATTTATGATTACATAAATCGGTTCTCGTTTTATTACACAGGATCATCTCTACTTTTCATAGGAAATTTTGAAAAAAAGTGAAACTAAGTGAAGTAATTTTATTATTGGCAGAATTAGTGTCTAACCCTACGTGACTGCTTCTAAAAGCTATCGTGTTTCACGTGGCATATAAGACAAAATTTCATTATTACATTAGTGTTTTTTATATGTATGTATATGAATAGGATATTATATATTTATGTATCTAAAAACCCACAACTTTAAGACCGCGCATCTGAACTTGTTAAAATCTTGCCGTGTCACAAACATATTCGTTATTATCAGGGAACGGATTTTATGGAAATTGCCTTTTTTCTGCTAAAGAGATAGAGTATATTCGATTAAGAATGTCCACGATTTAGCTTTCCCTGATTCCATATATACACATTTGATGTTGCCTTTTTTTGCCTTTTTTAATATATTTGCCTTTTTTTGCCTTTTCTACCTTTAAAAAAGTGATTATAGCATTTACATTTTTTTTTTAAGATTAAAAAATATACACATTGCCCATGCGGCTTATAGAAGCGCAGAGACCTCTTGCCAAATTGGTGTTGGAAAAATTCAAAGCCGTTTTCTCAGCTAACGAAGGCTTGGGGACAATAAGGGGTGTTGATAGAATTATAAAGGGCGAGGAAAACGCCCTTATTTCTGATAATATGAACGTTTCAAACGTTCCATATTTAAATTGGGCTCCACTTGTATCAACTTACGTCGAGCGCACATTTAGTACATTCAAGGCTTTTCTTCGCGAAAATCGAATGAAAATTCTGCCAGAAAACTTCAAAATGCATCTTGTGGTTCAATGTTACTACAACTATACAGATTAAAGTTTTATGAGTTAGAAACCCGAAAGGATAAAATAGTCAAAGATTCAAAGTAAAAATTTTTCATATACTGAAACTAGTTCATAGTTTTTCTCTTTTTACTTGTAATATAAATGTATTTTGTACTTGTTCTTCATATTTTCTGTCTTTTAGGTGCCTTATTTTGCTTTTTTTGCCTTTTCCTGCCTTTTTTGCTATTTTGTTTTGCCTTTTTTTGCCTTTTTTGCAACACCTAGTGCCTTTTCCTGCCTTTTTCGCTATTTTATTTTGCCTTTTCCAGCCTATTTCGTTATTTTATTTTGCCTTTTTTATAGGTTTTTAGGTCCTAAAAATCCGTTCCCTGGTTATTATATAAGGAAAACCACGAAGAATATGAAAAAGAATATCAGTACTGCGAAGATTTTTATCATCAGTTTGGAAGTACTTCAATATTTCACCATGCGCCGCTTCTATGTTCAATTCGGCATCATGTATGTTTGTATCGATACGCTGCACAGTCTCCTCTTGCTCTTTAACCATATGTGCTGATTGTTGAAATATACCGCCTAGCTCGACAATAGTCGATTCAATGTTCTGCATAGTCTCAGCCCGCTGTTGCACGTAACTATCGGAGTCATCATATAATGCAATCTGCTGCTGCGTCTGTATTCCACTACCTCCGACTGCACCCAGCAATGGTGTTGTATCACTTGCGGCCATGTCAATGCTTACGGCCGTATTCTCTTCGCTTACCAGCAAGGAGCCCTGTTTCGCTGTACTCGAGCGAACAGTGCTAGCAGCAATTGGTGACTGCCCGAATTGATCCCGACGCGCTTTTTGTTGTTTGAGATTTTTTATACGCACTTCTAGTATCTGTTTGAAGTCGGTGCCCATGCTGGCTAATTTAGATTGTAACGCATACACCATGATATAAGTCAATTCTTGAATCTATTGCGGTCGATCATCAAAAAGACTCTTCTTTTAAGCCACTGCAAAAGAAGAGGTAAAGTAATATTTATAATTAGGAACATCTATTCATTTTATGCTAACGCATTGTCAATTTTTCCAACTTGGCATATGCACTTGCTATGTTTTTGCCAATATATTTGTGACCATCATAAATTCCTTTCTTTGGCATACGTCAATTGTTGCACCATAGCCTGTAAGAAATGCGTAAACATAATAATGTAAACGCCTTCAAATGCACTTCTACTTCTAACTTACTTGTAAGTCTCTAATCTGTTGCTCGTACATAAATTGCGTCTGCGTCGAGGTCTCTATCCGATTGCGGCCTTGGTTTACATTGGCCTTATCCGACAACTGGCGTATGATAAGCTGCGCCATTTCCAACTCATTTGACTTTTCTTTGAACTGATGTTCAACACCGGGAGCACGTTGCTGCATTACATCTAACAGCCTTTTCATTTCATCCAGATGAGCCGCTTGATGTGGCCAACACCCAAAAGGTTTGTTTACAAAGTGCATTTTTGAGTAGTTGAACAAATGCCAGTGGGCAGCCAGCGGGTCAGTTGCTGGCAACAATTTGCAGGCTTGGGCCAGCGTTTGTTGCGGCTGTCGGAAAAGTAGCTAAATAATGAAAGTAATTATATGTATAGCGGAGTAGGAGGTTTTCCTTTATTTTAAAAGCTTGCTTACTGATTTCACTAATTGACGACGATGCAACGATCACCGTGGAATCGTTCTGCAAATTGTTACCAGCAACTGACCCGCTGGCGGCCCGCTGGTATTTGTTCAATTACTGAAAAAATGCAAATCATTATAATGATTGCAGTGTTTTAACACTTTCAGCGATTTGCATTGCAATTAAGAAGTACACATTCTTTACTTTTAAACAACCAATTTACCATTTAAAATTAAATAATTCCGTAAATCCGCGATTTATTATGCACTTTGTAAACAAACCTTTCAATTTCGCCCCAGCTGTTCGATTCTTCTTCTATTTCTTATTGAATTCGTCTTTGCTCTCTCATTCTGGTATATTTTGACGTCATGGCCAGTTGCTCTCAGCTCGATTGGCGCAATCTTGTATTCTATCATTCTTGGTGTGTAGTGTGTACGATGTTGCGAATGATTGCGGGTACATGAAACAAATGTGTATATGCACGTTTCTCTTTTTCGCAGTATTGATTTATTTAAAATAATCATGAAAATTGCTTAAATTTTTTTAATTATATGAAAATTGTTGCTCGAAGATATGCTTTGACTACAAAACGTAGATATGTTAATCAATATGTGAAAATTATGCAAAAATGCAATTGCCAAATTCGTGGTTGATTTGCCGTCGGCATTTCAAATGGGGCTTTTGGGTTAGGTTTTGTGCGATTGATTGCTGGTGAAACATGTGTGTATATGCTCATTTATTTTTTATTTTTTTATTTTTTTTTTGCAATTGCTCCGAGCCCCCTTTTTTTGGTTGCTCGAGCACAATTTTTATTTTTATTGCTCCGAGCACAATTTTTTATTTCTTTTTATTGCTCCGAGCACTCTTAATGGCCAGACATCAGAGCTCCATGCATCAGCCGTACTTAAATTAAATATATACTCTGCAAATTGCAAGCTATAGTCCTTTTTAGATGTAATTTTTAGATGTAAGAACATAAAATAAATTTTAAAACCAGAATAAAAGCATGCCGTGTTTTTCTGTAGTTAGTATTGTTAATTAGTATAATGTTAGCAATTCATATTAGTTATCATTTGTAATTAGTATTGTTAATATAAAAAAAAATAAAAAAACATAAAGCCTAAAAACAAGCATGTGATTGAATAAAAAAATTATTCAAAGGATGCGGTGCATTGTAGAATAACAATATGGGTATCAATTAAAAGGGAAAATTCTGTAGAGTAGAAAAAAATTAATTTTTGGGTGCACCAGGACGATTAATTATTGAAAATGTCCTTTTAAGACTTTATCCTTGAATATCCTTGGAAATTTCCAATATTTATTTTTGAAAAAAAAATATATGTCAAGGACTAATATGTTAACTACCACATCCTCGAATTTCGTCCTTCTAACTTTATTAGTTTTAGATAAAAAAAATACACTTCTCTTTACAAGATAGTGATAGTTACAATATATATAAATGAAGATACTGGAATCATTTTTAAGGAACCATGTATGCGCTCTAAAAGAACAAACTGACCGTATGATGAAAAAATTATTTTAATTATATTTTTTTTGTGTATATAAAACGAAAAATTTGGGTTTAAGAACGTTTTTGGGTTTACAACGATACCAATTTTTTAAAAATGGGTTATTTGTTTTTTTGTTTAAATAATTTTTCTTTATAAAAAAAGGTATTTTTTCCTTTTAAGTGTTTTTTCTTAAATTTTTTATACGAAGTATACAAATACGCATATCAGAAGAAAGAAGATTTGATTGCGTTAACAACGATATCAATTTTTTAAAAATCCATTAGTAATTTGATGTTTTATTTTTATCGTTTCAAGCATATTTTTATAGGACTTATTTTTTAACAGCCAAATTCATAAAAAATAAAAAGGACTTTAACTGCTTTGTAAATCGAAAATTTGTATGAAAATGTCACTTCATAGAGCTATTTAAACCTATTTTATTTTTTATGAATAAGGCCATAAATATTTAAACCGCTTTAATATCATTTACAAGAAATGTATTCCTTATATGTATGTGATATATGAATGAATAAAAGCATACCTACATATCAATAAAACATATTAATAAGAATTAGTTATTTAATATGGATAAAAATTTTGATAGGTTTTGGTAGGTTTTTCAGGTCATTTTTGCTTATTTTTACAAGCAAAAATCACAAGTACGCACATATATTCTTTTGTACATAGATGTAGATATGTCAACGAAAGAGTAAAAATTTTTGAATTCATACTGGCAATTTGAATCAAACATGTAGCTTGTAAGATGCGAGACATTCAAGATGTGCTGTGGCATAGTTGGTATAGGCAAAGCAATTATGATGATGCTTTGTCGATACGGTCACTGTTCAACACCGAACCGATGCTTTGGTTTTTTATGTTGTATTTATAAAAATGAAATAAATAACTTGGTGGTTGAATCAAATTAGTTTTTGCTTTTTCTGTGGCTTGCGAAGTTATTGAAGAAGAAGAAGATTCGTAGACAAGACGGGGGAAACGAAAGCGAAGTAATTTTGCGCACTGGTCGGTACAGATGCATGATTTCAATAACCAACGGAAAAAATATTTTATCTTGATCACAGAAGTGTGCAAGGGGGATTTGAACACTGTTGCCACTTTTAGATTTTTACCTTCCTTTTATTAGCTCGGGATGTAACTATGTAATATTGATGCGCCTAAAAGATGCAGCGATTTCTATTCTCAAGTTACATACCTGATGACAGTACGAATGGCAATTATAATAGGGAGGTTTTATTTTTTTAAACTATAATTTTATTTGTTGTAAAATGTCGTATGATTACGGCTTATCATAGCTTAAAACATTGTATGTCAAAATTAAATAAAAATCCAATAAAGTTGCAGGTATAGAAAACGTATATATTTAAGTAATTTAGCAAGAATACAAAATAATTATTAATTAATATTTGTGGTACATTACCAAGGAACAGTATTGGTTATAATTTTTTCAGTCATATGAGTGTATAGGTCACCCAATATGGATAAGTTTCGGATTTTTATTTTTGTTTTTATTTTCAAATTATTTTTATTCACTTTTTTTATAAATAATATAGTTCATTCCATAACAAAAATCTTGTTAATCAAAGTTTAAAACTTTGTACAAAATTAAAAGCAAATCAACAAAGTTTCATCAAAGAACGTAAATAATCAGAATGGACAACTTGTGCCTTCTCTTTTGCGCTAGTACGTTTTCATCAAAATTCCACACTTTTTATTCTGAATAAAAAGTGTTTAATTTTGGTTAAACTTTGATTTTCTTTTAATTTTTGTACAAAATTTGAAACTTGGATTTACATGGTTTTCGTCATAGAATGAACTATATTTTTTTATAAAAAAGTAACTAAAATTAATTTGAAAATAAAAATAAAAATCCGACACTTATCCATAAGGTCACCCCTATTTATGAAAAAAAAATTGTATTGTTTCTTTTGGTACATTGCTGAGGAACAATATTAGTTATAATTACATATATTACTTCATATAAGTATATTATTCACAAAATATTTATGAAAAAAAATAGCTTTTGGGGCACACTGGCAAGAAACAATAACTTTTCTAAATGCTTTCCAGACAAGCGATTTCTACTTTCTCTACTACATGACCACACTTTTCGCGAAAACTCCAATAACGGGCGTCATTTGTTGAGTTGCTGTTGCAATGATAAAATTAGTAGAAATTACTCTTTCGATACCAAGTACTTTTTTTAGATACTTACTTGATACCGAACAAAAACGTATCGAGTAAAAAAAACTTGTATTTACTTGTATCGATTGAACCCTACTTCCAATTAAAATACACAATTTTTTATTCAACCATATTCTATTATTAGATTTTGTCATCGCCGCGCCGAAAATCAACTTGTGGACGGCAAATGCTTGTAGCGGGGCAAGTGTGCAGGGTGTGCGCGAGTTTATGAATGAAAGTTTTTGCTTTTATGAATGAATTTCTTGTTCGTTTGAAGCGGGAGTTCGGGGAAAAGTAAGCGTGGTGTCTGTATGTATTTCGTTGTAGTGTTTGTATGTATGTACAGAGGTATGTATTTCGTTTTGATGTTTGTAGAGCGCTTGTACAAAGTGTCGATTAATACAGAGATTTTCAATATGGGTGTTTCCATGAAAATGTCAACCAGGACTGAAACAAGTAATTTTTAGCAAAAAAGACACTACCTTTCCGATGCAAAAAGAATTATCGAAATCGGTTGACGTGGTCCAAAGTTATGCGGTAACATACATAAAAAAAAAAAAATATTCCGACGAACTGATAACCTCCTCCTTTTTTGGAAGTCGGTTAAAAATAAAAACAACTGAAAAGGGTTTTTTACACGAATTAATAAGAGAAAAATACTCGAATTTTTATATTATAGAAGTATTTCAGCTTCGGCCGCTGTGGGGTAGTGGTAAGCAGTGCGCGCTTTCACTCTTCAGCACCTGGGTTCAAGCCCTGGTCAAAGCAACATCGCAAAAAAAATATAGAAAAAGGTTTTTTTCTTAACAGCGGTCGTCCCTCGGCAGGCAATGGCAAAACTCCGAGTGTATTGCTGCCATGAAAAACAGCTTCTCATAAAAATACAATCGCCGTTCGGAGTCGGCGTAAAACTGTAGGTCCCTCCGCTTTGTGTGACAAATCAAGGCGCACGCCACAAGCCGGAGGAGAAGCTCGGCCAAACACTAACAAATGTGTAAGCGCCAATCTATTATTATTATTATTATTTCAGCTTATTGGAATTTTAAAACTCAAAAATGGAAGAGTAAAACTGAATGTCTCTTCGACTCAGTTTTCTCTAATGGAATGAACTATTTTCTCTTTCCTATTAACTAAATTAAGAGATTTGAAACATTACAATTACATCTTAAAATCAAATTTGCAAAAACAACTAACTATAAAAATGAGAAAAAGGAGAAGTTAGAGCTCGAATAACGGTAATTTTTTGATTTGCTTCTGATAGTATTCTAATGTCGCGTACGTTATGCAAAAACATTATTTGTCTATGTCATTTGTATATTGGCCGTCGCAGGTAATGTAGATTACAATTCTTAAGCGAGAATTCTTCCAGTTAAAGATATACAGTAAAATTTTCTTTCCAACCGAAGTAAAAAACATTTTATTACCCTTTAAAGTTTGTCGCATGCGTTATTGTAAGTACGAAAATTTCAATCAATTACAAATCAATTGCAAATTTTCCATTTAAATTATTTAGAATAGTTGTAAAACAATGAAACGGTGGCGGGAAGAGTTCTCAATAAATACATTTTATTACTTACGAGAAAAATTGTCGCGTACGTTATTGTTTGTTTTAATATAAAACTAGCCAGAGATAATTTCTCTTAAAACACTGAGGAACAAATTCAGGTTAGCAAAAGTTAGGTCGATT